ACTGCCATGAGGTCTCCCTTCAGTCTCCTCCAGGCTGAACAGACCAAGTGCCCTGGGCCGCTTCTCCTACGGCTTCCCCTCAAGGCCCTTCACCACCCTCATTGCCCTCCTTTGAACGCTTTATATTTATCATAGAATATCAGGTTGGAAGGGATCTCGAAGATCATCTGGTCCAACATTTCTTGGCAAAATTAACTACCAAGTTCCTGAAAAAATAAATATTACAGAAATAGCTAGTAGCTCTAAAGCCAAACAGATAAATAAAATTAAAAACAATAATATATAGAAATAATTCACAACCTTGCTGCCCAGAAATGCTGTGGCTGCCCCACCCCTGGATGTGTCCAAGGCCAGATTGGATGGAGCTCTGAGCAATCTGGTCTACTGGAAGGTGTCCTTGCCAATGGCAGGGGGTTGGAATGAGATGGTCTTTACAGTCCCTTCCAACTCAAACCATTTCATGATTATAAATTAATATTATTCTTCCTTGAATCCTCTGAGAATTTCTTGGCTATTCATGAAATTCACAGGAAAGGTGTAAGTTATTTATACCTGAAGAGAAAGTGGGATATTCTCTGTTAACTAATTCCTTCATTTTGATTATTTTTATTAGCAGACTACACTACTAGATCATCTCAGTGTTATGTGAATTTAAAAAATTGAGGAACCTAACACTGCAAGAAAACCATTATTAGATAATCACATTTAGACAAAAATATGAAATAACTCTGATTTCCATTCTGTAGAGCATCTTTTAAAAGCCTTTTTTGTTTTTAAATTAGGAAAAAAGTGCTACATGAAGACAGTCTAAAAATATCTAATTTCTATAACAGGCTACTAGTTAGCAAAATATCTTTATTCCACTAGAAAAAGAATTGATTTTCAAAGACTGTTTTCTAATGAAGAAAGTTTAATTCTTAAATTATGATCACTGCTAAGCACTTGTGTACTTTATCTATCAAACTGATTACCAAATATCAAATAGGGCTAAAACACATTGATTCTATTCCCATCAGTAAAATCTTATGTAATGTTATGAGTTCTGAGTCACTGCTGGATTATATCCTGACCTGCTTTTCTCCCTTTGGAGTTCAAGGTAAGAAATACAAAAGCAATAATTACCTGCTCCCACTTATGGGCACATTTACAACACCGTGTAATTCAAAATAACCTTTTGCTGCAATCATGCAAAGAAGTCTCCTAATTGTATATTGACTAAAAATGCTCTGTAAGCAGTGCACTTCTTATTTGAGCTTTGAAAGAAAATAAATCAGGAAACAGGAATGAAAAATATAAAAGCATTCTGATTTCTAATCATCACACTGAAGCACAGAAGATTTGTGTTAATGATCTGTTTTAATTTTCACAACGTTCTGATAACTTCATGGTTAGTCTATTTTCTTTAATATCCAAGAGCAATCAACAAGTACAACCCAAATGATACAATTAATTTGAAAAAAAAATGCAACACAGGGTATTAAAATGTAAATCAGGATTTAGGGACATGATATATAACCAACATGTACCTTTAGTGTTGAAAACTTTTACTTATCAGAACATGTTGAAATGGATTTATTCTAAGTTAAAAACTGATTCCAAGTGAATGTCTTCTTTATTTCAGCAGGGCAGGTGTTTTACAAAACATCTTATTCCTCAATAAAACTTCCAACTCACACACAGACTTCTGTTACTATACAGAGAAAGGATCAAGCCCTGAGAAATCTATAACTTCACTGAATGTGCAGCAGGTAAATGGCAATAAACACAAGGATGGCAGGAAACTTATGAAAATTCATTATTTGATAAAAGGACAAATAGAAGAATTTTAATCAGACAACATATTGTTCCAGCTCCAGGAACTGCTGACTTAGCAGAAACAAACGCAGCATGACCCGGAATGTGAAATAATGTCTCACATGTGTCTTCTGGGGTGTGTTTCTCAGCAATAAGCAGAGCAGTTTTACAAGCACCTAAATTAGAAATGACTTCTCCAAGAGTCAGCGCTATGCATATTTATGTAGCTGGGCTCTTAAGTCAAATGCTAATACTCGGGATCTTCAGAAATCAACTATATAAATTCATCTTCACAACTGCACATTGAATTCAGTAGCAGCAAGAGGGCAATTGCGTCAAATGAACTATATATGCAATTTATGCCAATAGTAAAAGAAAATCTGAAAAAATTAGCTACATATTTCAGATTTCTAACTAATCCTTCCAGAAATGCCTCCCTTTTCCCCCTCGTCCTCACAGCCATAGGTATAAGGTTCTCTCTCTACACAGAATTTCAAAAAGCAGATCTTACACCTCTCAGCAAGTCATAAATCACATTTTTTTTCTTACATGTTTTGGAATACCCTGCAATCAGTCTCCCGTGAGACCCAAGGACCTATCAAAAATAAATTCCTGGAATATGCAAATATGTATATTTATCTGCATGGGTATCTGCATATGCAAATTCTGGGACAGGCACCTGGGGAAGAATAACCCCAGGCACCAGTAGAGGCTGGGGGTGGCCTGTTGGAAAGCAGGAGAGGGAGGAAGTGGAGAAGGACCTGGAGGTCCTGGTGGACAACAAGCCATCCCTGAGCCAGTGGCGTGCCCTGGGGGCCAAGAAGGCCAATGATGTCCTGGGATGTGTTAGGAGGAGCATTGCCAGCAGGTCAGGGAGGGGATCCTGCCCCTCTGCTCAGCACTGCCGAGGCACATCTGGAGTGCTGGGTCCAGTTCTGGGCTCCTCAGTACCAGAGGGACATGGAGCTCCTGGAGCGGGTCCAGAGGAGGCTACAAAGAAGATGAAGGGATTGGAGCATCTCTTACAAGGAAAGGCTGAGGGAGCTGGGGCTGTTCAGCCTCCAGAGGAGACACTGAGAGGAGACCTCCCCCACATATGTCAGTGTCCACAGGGAGGGAGCAGAGCATGGACAAGGCTCTGCTCAGGGGGGCCCAGCAGTGGGACAAGAGGAACAGGAAGGAACTGATGCCCAGGAAGTTCCACCTGGACATGAAGAAGAATTTTCTTACTGTGCACATGGTTGACCTTCACTGCTGACTCAGGATGAACTTGCTGTCCAGCAGGAGCATTAGATGCTTATTTTTGCCCCACTGCTTTATTAACCCAAACAGAGAATCACAGAATGGTTTGGGTGGGAAGAGACCTTCAAGACCATCTTCTTCTGCCTCCCTGCCATGGGCAGGAACACCTTCCACTAGATCAAGTTGCTCCAAGCCCCATCCAACCCAGCCTTGAACAATTCCAGGGATGGGGCAGTCTGTGCCAGAGCCTCACCACCCTCAGAGGGAAGAATTTCTTCCCAATATCCCATCTAATCCTGTCTTCTGGCAGTTTGAAGCCATTCCCCCTTGTCCTGTGCCTCCAGGCCCTTGTCCAAAGTCCCTCTCCATCCTTCTTTCAGTCCCCTTTGAGGTATAGGAAGGTTGCTATAAGGTCTCCTCAGAGCCCAGAAGTAATTTTTAGCCCTCTTTTAATTCACTTTTATATAACAAGAAACACTTCTGGGAAAGAAAACCCCAAGAGATTATAAGGAAAGAAACAGAACAACTGTGTTCAGCTTAAAATACAATAAATAATGATGTAGTTACTTTCTGACAGGTGGTCATAAATAAATTATATTCTAGATGTTATTTTTAAAGTCTTTCTCAAATTTCTCACAGGGAAAACAGCTATTTTGAGGGGGAAAAAAAAGGCTGGGAATGAGACCCTTCTGCATCACAGCTCTCAACAAGCAGTTACCAAAGAGACACTATATTTTGCTTACAAAAGGTGTTACTCCTTTTCAAAAGCTTGGTATTAAAATCCAATTTCAGACTAAGTTATTGACACCCACACAGGTCTTACATATAAATTAACAAGGAAACAACAACTTATTGGAATGAAGAAAAAAAATAGTTGGCAGTAAATCTGGTTCAATAAATTCCTTCAGAAGTCTGAAGTTCCCGTCACTTCTTGATAGCCAGTTAATGAACGATGCCTGTAAATGAACTGGAACATTTTACATTTCTAATTAGTTAACTAACATTAGAGCCATAAATCAACCACTGACACTATAATTCAGCCCTTTTAATTAAGTGTTTCAAGTTTCTTTATAAATGTAGACAGATTAGTGTAAACGTACATCATCTTTGGCTTCAGATGCTGAAACGAAGTCCAAGAAAATTAATTTTAATACAATTGAAATTTGTTTGGAAACTGCTAAACTCACGATAAAATCTTGTTTAACTTTATTATTGTTAACTACTTTCTCTTCTTTCTTCTTTAAATTATACAAAGTGTGCTTAAAGTGT